GAGTTGGTTAATGATTATGATTGTGAAATTCTTTACCACCCGGGAAAAGCTAACGTGGTGGCTGACGCTTTAAGCCGGAAAGAAAAGAGTGGAACCATTAAAATAGTGGCAATGAGAATGAATTTGATCCCTGAAATTCATAAAGAAATTCAGAGATGCCAACAAGAAGCTATGAAAGAAGAATTTGTTAAGACATAAAGGTTGGGTAAGATGATTTCAACCTTGGAACAGAATGACGAAGGACTAATGTGACTTCAAGGGCGAGTTTGGGTACCATGTTTTGGAAATATCCGAAATATGATATTAAATGAAAGCCATAAGTCCCGATACTCTATTCATCCAAGCACTAATAAGATGTATAGAGATTTGAAACCTTTTTATTGGTGGCCAGGGTTGAAAAGAGATATAGCTCAATATGTGGAACAGTATCTGATATGTTTACAGGTTAAGATTGAACATCAGAAGCCATATGGAAGTCTTCAATCCTTAGAGATACCTGTATGGAAATGGGATCACATTACCATGGATTTTGTTATGAAGTTACCTTGAACTCCAAAGGGGTATGACGCGATTTGGGTAATTGTTGATCGTCTGTCTAAATCTGCACATTTTCTGCCAATAAGAGAGAAGTACTCTTTAGAAAGGCTAGCATAGATTTACATCAAAGAAAATGTTACCAGACACGGTGTTCCATTGTCTATTATCTCTGATAGAGATAGTCGGTTTACTTTGAAGTTCTGGGAAGGGTTACAAAAAGCTTTGGGGTCTGAAATTCGACTAAGTACAGCTTATCATCCGCAAACTGATGGGCAAAGTGAAAGAACTATCCAGACTCTCGAAGATATGTTGAGAAGTTGTATTATTGACTTCAGGGGATCGTGGGAAGATCATTTGCCATTGATAGAGTTTGCATATAACAATAGTTACCATTTCAGCATCCAAGCGGCACCGTATGAAGTGTTGTATGGATGTAAATGTCGAACGATGTTGTGTTGGAATGAGATTGGTGAAAAATAGCTGACGGGTCCTGAAATAGTTCAAGAAACTTCTGAAAAGTTCGAACAGATCCGCGAAAGAATCAAAACAGCACAAGATTGTTAGAAAAGTTATATTGATATCGTCGAAAACCAATTGAGTTTGGTATAGGTGATTTTGTGATGTTAAAAGTTTTGCCATGGAAGGGTGTCATCAGATTTGGAAAGAAAAGGAAGCTCAGTCTGAGGTATGTAGGGTCGTTCAGAATATGTAAGCGAATTGGGCCAGCAGCATATTGGTTAGAGCTGCCAGAAGAACTAAGTCTGATTCACAACACTTTTCATGTGTCGAATCTGCGGAAATGTTTGACCGATCCGAGTCTTGCCATACCGATACCAGAGATTAAATTAGATAGTAAGTTGAACTTTGTGGAAACATCGGAAGCTGTAATTGATCAAAAGATCAGAGTGTTGAGAAACAAAGAGATAAGTCTGGTTAACGTTCAGTGGAAGTTTCACAAAGGACCGGAAGCAACATGGAAATTGGAGCCAAAGATGAGATCAAAATACCCTTGGCTTTTTTATTAAAGGAATTCCAGGACGGAATTCTTTTAAGGGGTGGATAATGTGATAACCAGATCCTGCTTATCACCCAAGGTAATTAATACGTGATTATCTGTTTATATGATTACGTGATAGCATGATAAATTGATACATTTGATCATGTTAGTATGTGAAAATGTGCATAATTTAGATGCATGAATGAGATTATGTGTATAAGTGGATGCACATGTTTGTATGATATATATA